ACCACAGTCAAGTATCTTAAATAAGCGGTGGAAATTCTGGTTAATCACTAGATTGGGATTTGCTTTATAATTTTTTCCAACTAAACAGCTGGCTCGATTAATCGATGGCCAAATTAACCGGACTCTATTGTATTGGTGTAATTCATCTGATGAAATTCGTCCTCATGAACCATCTAGCTTAATTTTCAGGTGAAAATCTCCTAAGTGAGACTTCTCGGACCTGTGACAGAAAGTAATTTTGGGATAAACCTTATTATACAAACAACAAAATCGTTTTTGAGTTTGCTAAGCCTTTTTATAATGCAATAACCGGCAATTAAATTTGCTCAGCAAATTGGTTAAAATGAAAATAATATTTCATTATTTTCCAAAACGCTAAATATAAAATTTTTTAGTTGACGCTCATTATTTTTCAGTGATGGATTTAAGTTAAGTCATGTTATGAATTAATCAACTGGTTAACTCGTTTAACTTTTCGGTGCTTCAAAATATTTTGACCCAGTTGACCTTTGTCTTTTTGACTTTTATTCTTTCACTATCTTATCATGTGCTGATCTTTCCTTTATAATACTGCAACTACGCATCTTGCTGATTCTTTTATTTATTTCTATCCATAGACTTTGCCTAAATCTGGTATTTGTCTCTTAGCTTTGTTTCATTTATTTGGCATGCAATGCTTATGATAACATTATTAAGCTATTACACTAGCTTTCAGCGGTGATTAAATTAAATACTATTTTATGCAAGCTTAATTTTAATAAACTTCGTTTGCTTCCTTAGAGAATAGGAGAAAGGACCTATTGATAATAGGAAATAATAGTTTTGATGTCAATGGATCATGTTCGCTACTCCAAAGACCTTGAGTTTTTCTGCGCAAGATTAATTTAGGATTTCATTTAATGCGAATATTTTCGAGGTTTTCAGTAAATCTTGAATAAGCACATGAAATCAAAAGTAATAATTTTGGTTACCTTGGGTAATTTAAGGATTGATTACTTAATTCCTCCATAATGATATCAATAGGCCTCACACTGCAATAAGCTTCGCCTAACTTTGCCTCCTCAAAGTTTTTTTTATCCTGAGTTGACTGCGGTTTCTACCTCACCCAGTCTCCTTTGATTGGCGCTTCCAATGAGATTTGAAAACAGATCCTGGGCCTCCTAAATCACATTTTTGTGGGTTTATCGATGTTGCAAACGTGTAATTTTACTAGAAACGAAGACTCTACTTTTATTCGATGTGAATATTTTCAGCTAAACCTACTCATTTCATTGTAGGGACACTCAACTATCACTCTTTAAACCATCTTAACCGATCTAGGGTGCATAGGTTCTTGTTCAAGATTTATAGTGTCGACAAATACTTAAATCAAATATAAGTAATGTCGCCGATTGTAATGGCAAATAAAAGTTTGCCTCAGCGACTATCACACTTCAAATGCGATTTACGGGAGGCCTGACTTGTTCTGTAAGCCTCATTGTCTCGTGGCTACGTCGAAATTATAGTTTCACCACCTGGTGCGCTATTCAGAATTAGAAAAGATTTTATGAGGCAGGGCTATGTTAAATTTATTAATATCATGAAGCCTACTCATTTCCTTGTGGACAATTTTACAATTAGTCCTTAACTCACTTTAAGTGACCCTGGGGGATTCAAGTTCTCATAATTGACGATTCATCATTCGACTAGGCTCTTGACCTTAGATCATTAAAGAGAATCTTATTTGGGATATATCTTTTTTGATATCTAGGTAGAGCCATTTGTTAGTACATTATGCTTCTATCTTCTGCCTAAGTACTCTTCAAGACAAAGTTCATATTCCATTCTTTGCCTTTTCAAACAGCTGGGCTTGCTCTCCCGACGTGCAGAATCTGTCCAGGCTCTTTTGGATACGCGTCGCAAGCGGCGCCTGGCCGACATATTCAGTGACAACCCTAGTGACTGCGATAAGAATAATGAGCAGTCTTTAGAGCCCCAAGCCGAAAAACGACGCCGCTTTGAGACCACTGCCAAGGAAGACTCGCCTGTGCAGACTTTTCGCGAGTGGGGACAGGCAGCGATCACGGTACCTGGGCTTGCTCACCTTCTGGGAAGCTTGGAGGAGGGTATTTGGGCTAGTTTTTTGGCCACAGAAGTAAGCTATTCAGTATAGTTGAACTCTTTTCTATGTCGAGTGAGTGTGAAATGAGATGCTTCAAAAGTTAATCCGCATCGACATAGAATTCCTTTTTGCCGGGTATCGTTTGGCTTTTCTGGAACATTTTGGTTGATACTGTCCTCGATACAGTATCTGTCTATTTCGATGAAGACGTACAAAGCTTTCATGCCATATGATGAACATGATCAGAGCAGGGTTTCATCCTTGCAACAAATTCAAGCTAGTGACTCAAAAACATTTGAGTTTTCCTGGTACTCTGATTTGATCATGGCCGTCCTATTCGAGACGAAAGCTTATCTCTTTTTCCACTGAAACGAAGGAAGATTGCCTCATACCACTAGAGCCGAAACTATCCAGGGAAGCCGAATGACAGCTGGCCAAGAGAACTCCGCTGTCGTCTTCTGGTGAGATCAACCTTCGAATGTCTTTATCTGGCGCTTTCATTAAAATGAAATAAGCCTGAAGACTAGAGAGTCAAGAGATTATTATAAATTCAACTTTTCTTCGTATATAGGTTATTTAGGTACTCTATTATTAGAGTGGGTTCATTTAACGGGTATTTTATTATTTTAAATGGAATGAAATTTCAGCAAAAAGCTTTTTTTGTTTTATATATTTATTTTTTAGCCAAAGTGACTGTCTTATTAAGCATTTTTGAGTCCTCTATCAAACCTGGTCTAGTTTCAGGAGCTGCCCATATTTTGCAATCTAGTGCTAATCTAGCAAAGTATTTGACCTGTTGCACCAGATCTGTAATGAAATTTGTATTTGTATATAATATGAAGCCACCTTACTTAATACTCTAATATCTTCGGGTTATTGCATCGTACTTTGAGGACTTAGTGCTAAGTGTATTTCATGGCCTACACTC